AAAAGGAGATAGAAGTGTACACAAAGGCTTGAAAAGTGTAAACAGTACAGAGGGAAAGGAATTCTTTCTGATTATCTAGAGGGCTATAACTTGGATATAATGGGAGAAAATTAAACATGGGAAAACAAAGTTAGAGCACTGCAGCAATTTGTAGCTGAGGTCAGGTAGCCCAGTTCCCAGTCTCCACGTAACAGGAACCAGGCCAGTTGCATCGTTCACAGCTTACCTTCAAAACTGCATACAGTTCTGCCCCTGGAGCTTTGCATTTGAAGCTGTGCCCAGGCAGTGTGGGACATCTCCAGAAGGGCAGAGGGGCAGGCGTGGCTGGGCCAGGCCGGCGCGGGGCTGTGCCGTGGGGGCTGTGCGCGCAGCCCTCAGCCTGGCCAGCTCCCAGCCCGGCCAGGAGTCCAGGCCATAAAACCCGACGCAGTCATCACCCAGGAATGCTGAACTGATGGAGGAGAGGGCAAAGCACCGCGGGTTTCTGTGCTTCTGCAGCATCGTCCTCGCGGTGAGAACTCACCGCGCTGCAGAGACCTGTGCTTCGAAGCTTGAAAAGGAAGTGTGAAGAAAGTAAAGGCGAATTTTAGTTAACTGATTACACTGACAAATCCTTAACATGTAATTTTTTAAAGAATTTTTTTGGTTATAACTATCTCTTGAATCTTCTTATGCAGGTAATTATTTTGCTGTATTAATTTTTCTTATAGGCAAATAGTTTATTTTTCTGCCTTAGCAATTGTCTATTGTATTTCAAACAAAAATTGCAGTAAATCTGCATTTAAATCCTAGGTAAGGAAAGGATAGTGTGCACAAATTGCCACTGTACAGTGTGTTCAGCTACACAGTAGGCATTACAGATTGTACTGACATGGGGCGGTAAACAGCTTTCATGCAACATCATCTATCATGCCATGGTCGGTTACCTCACCATCATGTTATTTTATGCTTCCTGAGCCCTAAACCACCAAAGGTTGCCCACTGCTCGGGAGCTGCGCTGATGCCTGAGCACATGGAGTAATGAATGCTCAGCCAAGTGTGGATTGTTTCTGCTTGTGCACTGCTGTAATTTGTTTATCTGTCTAAAGATTATGCAGTTGAAAATCCACAATTTTATGCTGCCTTTGTAAATTATCAAGTCGCTTTTGATGAATGTATCCCCACTTCCGATGCTGGTGGCATTATGATCCTGAAATATTGGAAAGTGCTCATGCATACAATGCAGAAGGTTATGTTTTTATATTTTTGGCAGACAACCGTGCTATAAAGTAAATCTGACCTTAAGCTTCCTTACTGCATTAAAGATAATTCAGTTTTAACTTTATAGTCCTAAATGCTACTGTTTAGATAAAGTTATTGCCCAGTCAAACTTGACTGATTAGAGATGAGAAAGTCTTGACTGTTTCATACAAAATAAATTAGTGTTGTCAACTAGTTTAAAGCACATCTACAGCTGTATTAGAGCCTGGAGAGTGTGCGGGCTACAGATTTAATTAGCTAATAGAAATTGTTTGGCATAATAGGAAATTGTCTTATATGGCAATTATTTGTATTTATTCCTGAAGGGCTAGAGAATCGAAAGAGATCCTCAGAATCACATTCATTGCAAACAGCAGAGAGATGAGTCCATTTTATTATTCATTAAGCCACAACTGCTAAAGAAATCAGTGAATAAGGGTAAGGTTCAACAAGGAACAGAATGAAAGCAGCTCATAATAGAGACTGGAGGAATGTCATTGTTGCTGATTTCCTTAAAATCACTGAATGTTTCTTTTCAGACGGAGAAATTTATTTCAGAGAAGTGGTTATACTCATCACCTGAAAATAGTCATTCCTCTCCCTGAACATTTCAGCCCCCTATATGGTGAGATCAAGTACTCTTACAAGGCAGTGTGGGTTACCTTTAATTCAAAGAGTAACATCTATCGCACCTAATTCCATGAAAACTGCATGTTGCTCTGCAGGAAGGACTGGCCAGACATGCTGGCTGCATTCAGCAGAGGGAGCCTGGACTGCTTCCCCTTGCCCAGCGCTGGCCGCAGGGAGGAGGTGCAGAGACCTCAGAGGTGTTTCACGTAGGCACAGATCCCTGCAGGCAGCACTGGGCACGAGAGCTCGTTTTGCACAGCCTTTCTCTGGAGAAGCCGAGCAAAGATGTGTTAATGTCACCTCGTTCAGAGACTGGTTTGACCTGTTTGCACACTGCGTCTGTGTTTCTGTTTCTCTAATCTGGAGAATCTTGGACTGACTAGTGTTTTGTTGTGTTTTGGTTTTTCCTAACTAGTCAGAAAATGACGAGAAGATAGTAATATATGACCACATTGGGCCAAATGTCTGCATGGGGGATCACAAGGTAATCAAACATTTTAGTGTTGTCTTCTACATTTTTTATTAGGAAGGACAATGTATTTGCTAGGTTCTGTTGATTTTATTTTTAAGTCAGCTATATCTCTGTCCTGTCTTTAATTTAATGCCTTGAAAATGTTTTGGAGTTGAATCCAGCTGAAATCAGCCAGTGTATCAGAGTAGCTGCTTGTATGAAATGAGATGAAGAGCAGGACGATGGGGTTAGAATGAAACAGGATGCGGTGCAAGTGGAGAGGAGCAGCCATCTGTGCACTTAACAACTGTTCTAGCAGAACAGAAGTGATTTCATTGGGTTATCAAAGATGCTTCCAAAGCATAGCTTCAGTTAGATTGGTGTCTAGCTGCTTATTAGTAAAAGAACATATTGGCAGTTTCATATTCAAACAACAAATGATAAAAAAGAATATAGAAGAAGAGCACAGAATTAAATAAATACCAGTTGTTAAAGTGAATAAAAATACCGGAATTTTACAGTCTTCTCTGCTGAAGATATCAGATGGAAAGCTAAGTTAGAAATACAACAACACAGAGTATTTGCTTTCTTTGGGAAAAGCCAGTCAAGGAGTAGGAGGTAACCTCTGAAAGCCTACATAAACCCCACACCGAGGTCAGAGGGACAGTGGGTACGCACGTGTCTGTGCATGTGTGCACGTCAGCCCAGACTCACAAATGCATACCCCTGTTTGCTTCCATGGTCAGAGTTCTTGTGGGACAGAGTATTGTTTCTGAGGAAGAATGGCCTTAAATGCCATTCTTCCTCAGGCACTTAAGGTCCAGAATCATCCAGGTCAGGTTTTAAAATACCCAAGTTTACTAACATCTCCAGTGGATGAAAAGCTCAGTGTGTCAGCAGCACCGAGGGGGAGAGCCAGCTCAGAAACAGCAAGTCTTGTTTCCTTTGTCACCAAAGTGCCATAGCACTTTCAGTGGAGCTAATTCTGTGACAAAAGGGAGATGTGATGGGACCTGATCCTCTTCCCACAGAAATTGGTGGCAAATTTTCCCTTAGATTTCAGTGGGAACAGAAACCTGTGAGGAGATGATGTAGTTCTCTTGTGCATTTTGTAGTCAGATTAATCCAAAAACTTACTGCATCATTTTGTTTCCTGTCATAGAGGAATTTTTTTCTTGTGTTTACTGCTACTGACTGTAAAAAAAAAAAAGTGTGTATTTCAAATGTGTAACTTCTATTTTTCCCTAACTTGCTGCAGCCTGTGTTCCTGTCCTTTCGAATAGCTGCTGGGGCAGGTAAACCTATTGCAAATGTGCACAAGTGTTGTGTCGTGCAGTGATGTGGTGGTAAATATCATCTTTTTCCTTTACGTTTATATTTTCTACATCATTTCCCCTGTGTTTATCTTTCTTTTTAAAAAAATGCCAATTCTGCAACAGGAAAAAGATGCCTACGAAGTGACAAGATTTTCCGGGAGACCACGCTGTAGCCGGGAGGGAGGGCAGACCCGAAGTCCATAATCCCAACAGCCCCGAGTGCCACATTTTTAGACTGCTGATCGTACACTATGCTTCAGCATCTGGACTCTGTTCGAGAGAAGCCTCACATACCTCACTGTCTTGTATGTTCATGTGACATCAAGTAGAAACGTGGAATTATTTTTTATATATATGTCACAGTTCTGTTGCCAAAACTCTAAATAGACAGCAGAGATGTTATGTATTTTAGATTTCACGACTTTCAACTTTTACTAAGTGTTTGTCAACGTGGAAAAGCTATTTCAGCATATTATAAACTTCTTAAGGTGTCGTGACTAACATTATATATCTTTACCACTTTGGGGTTTTGTACATTGGATTGTATAGATAGAGATATTGATGGTTTTAAATGGTATTTTCTTTGTTGACCAACCAAGGCTTATGGTTTGTGTCTTAGTTTTAGTATTTTGTTTTTCATTTTTATAATTTTTTTCTCATTTTATTTACTATACTGCCATGTTACATGGTTTTTGAATCACACAGCAGCTGCTTTCTATACATACATATATGTGTGTGTATATATATGTATGTATGTGTATATATACACAGATATATAAATAATTTATAAACCTGACCAAAACTTATGCTAAATATACTTTCCAATAGGAATGCTTGAGAGTGCCATATCAGCAGTTAGTGTGGGAGTCTTAGCAGGTTTAGTTAAGTGTACATTGACAGCCAACATTTATATAACAAACAATATATAGCAGTGCCATCCTGGATACAGATATATCACATACTATATAGCACATGTATTAGCAGTTTCACTTTGTTACTCCTATAATCCCTTCTTTCTATGTAATATTAAGGATTGAATGTGAAGTTCTTAGCTAGGTTTGGGTGTAACTTTCCAGAATTTTGTAAACCGTTTTTGTCTGTCTTTTGTTACTGTTTTATGGTGCCAAGTATTCTATATTGAAACAATAACAACACGGGAGAAGAAAATAATAGTCTGCTTCAGATAGCAACTGTATTGGACACACACTGCATTTACACAGTGTTAAAGGGAAAAAAACAAAAACAACAAAAACCCAACTACCTGACTGTAAATTTTCCTGGTTACTAGCTCAGTGCAGCCTACAACATAGTCTTGTTACAGACATTTTTCTCCCACCACTAAATACAACATTAAAAGGTGATTAGGGAGTCTGTTGATGAAACACAAATGTATGTTTTATTGATTTAATTTAGAACACTACAGAGTTCATGGACTGTGTGATGGCATTAGATTGATGCTTGATTTTGGTATAAATCACTACCATTGAAAATGATTCGATGTCTGCTTGCAGAGTGTTTTCTCAACAGTACCACCTGGTTCGTACAAGTATTGTTGCCCAAAGGGTGTCTGCAGCTCTGTATTGTTAATGTGCCATGTTGCATTATAACCACACAGTAATTCTATTTAAGCGAACTCAACTCATGATAACTTTGAAGGCCTTTAGAAATGAGTACTCTGGTTCTCAAGCAATAAAACTAATAATGGTGAACATGGCTGTGTCTGCCCCTTTAATCTGGGCATTGGGGAGTACAGGGAAATTATTACATTGTTACATTTCTTATTAACGAGTTAGCTTTTAATCTCCTGCCAATTAACAAGGTTATTTTTCACATGAAAACCTGTATGATCAGATGCAGTTCTGGTGTTAATGAAAACACAATACAAACTGAGGAAAAGTCACCTGAGAAGAAAACCCTCTCAGGAGCTGGGTTGGGAGCGTTGACGCACGGAGCGGGATGCAGCTTTACGAGCTGTTCACGAGAAGCCAGATTCCAGCAGGTCGGTAAATGTGCCACTATAAACTCCTTCGTGATGCTCTCGAGTTCCAGAAAAAAAACAGCGTTTTCTAGCGGGCCGGACGCCTCGCGTACAGCTGAAGCTGCCG